CTCTATTTTCAACTTTTTGAGGAACCTCCATACTGTTTTCCAGAGTGGCTGCACCAGCTTGCATTCCCACCAACAGTGTAGGAGGGTTCCCCTTTCTCCAAATCCTCGCCAACATCTGTCGTTTCCTGACTTGTTAATTTTAGCCATTCTGACCAGTGTGAGGTGGTATCTCATTGTGGTTTTCATTTGCATTTCCCTGATGCCTAGTGATGTTGAGCATTTTTTCATGTGTTTGTTGGCCATTTGTAGGTCTTCTTTGAAGAAAAGAACTTGTCAAACTCAGCACCCAAAACCCAAAAAATCCAGTCGAGAAATGGGCAGAAAACATGGATTTCATCTCTTACAGACAGAGGGGTCCACAATAAATTGGGAATTTAGAAAACAACCAGTCCTTCTCCATAGACAGTTTGTGAAACCAAGCTCTAATAGATGCCTGGCGGACTGAGAACCAAGGAGTCCCTCTCCACCAAGGCCAGCGAGGCCCCATGGGACCTGGCCTGCCCCCTGCCTCTCTCTTTCCTCCTGCTTCTCTTCTGCACTCCAGCCACTCAGATAAACTCCAAAGTGTGTTCCTGCCCTGCACCATTTGCATTTGTTATTCTGTGTGGAACTTTCTAGACCTTTAATACCCAGGCTCTGCCATGTCCTACGTGGCCAGTTGCAGATGTCTCTTCTCAGAGAGGCCTTCTCTCCCTGCCCTCTGTCAGAGCTCCTTGCTGTATTACTTGGGAGGCCTGTTCCACCTGAATTTGCTTGTCTGTGTGCTGTGTCTCCTGCATTGTAGAATGTGGACTGCATGAGAGCATCTCTCCTACACACCGGGGGCTTCCAGGTCCTAGTGGATGCTCAGTAGACCCTGGGTGCATAAGGGACTGAATGAAGAGAATGCTGCCTGCTGCATCAGCTGTTTGAGGCTTAGATAAGATGATGGGTGGTGAGTGTTTGCGGAGTAGGTATGCTGGAAACATTAGCCCTGGGCCATTCCTGCCTCCGCATTGCACTGCACCCCACGCAGGTCAGGGGCCCTGCAGACTGCTGTTTGGGGGCAGTTTCCCTGGAGGCATCTAATGAATTGCTTCAGTGTGTCTTGAGCTCTGTCCCCCTTCGCCTCTGTCCCTAGAGCCCAACAGAGTGCATGCACACGGGGATCAGAGAAGGCAATCATGGCATGAGTGTTGGATTGCGTAGACCAGGCATGGGCAGGATTGGAGCTGTGGGGACATGGACAAGTCACACCATCTCCGGAGTATCCATTTTCTCTGCTGCCCGTGGGATCATCTCATCTCCTTGATGGCGGCCCTTCTTCCTGGAGAAAGCCTGGCCGGGCCCCAGCTCCGTCTGTGCCCAGGTCTGATGGCACTCTCTTCTCCCCCTACCTGTTTGTGTTCCAGTATGCCTGGGTGGAGAAGCACTTTGGCTCTGACTTTCTGGATCACATTGTGCTGGCCACAGACAAGACCGTGGTCTCTGCCGACCTTCTCATAGACGACAGGCCAGACATCACAGGCAAGTGGCCTACGGCAGGTGAGGAGCGAGTGTGGAGCTGAGAGCTGCCGGGACAAACAGCATGCGGGGCTGGCCTCAGGGCCCCTGTCCTGAGTGGTCCCCACTTGATCACCAGCGGTGTATTAGACCTCTAGCCTCAGGCCCAGTGCCGAGCCCCTTCCCTACCAGGAAGACAAGGTTATTCTCAGCATCCAGCCTTGGAAGGGGTGCCACTGGGAGTCAGGAGAAGCAGGTCCTAGCTCCTGGGGTAACTCATGGGGTGGCCTCGGATGAGTCCCTTTATACCTTGAGGCCTTGCCTTTCTTATGTAAGATGAGGGCCAGACTGGCTTCCAAAAGTTTGGTTTTAGCACCAAAGCCATTTTTTCCCCAAGAGCAATTTGGAGTGAAGCTACTATGTAAAACAGAAGAGCAAAGCATCATTTCTTTAGTTGAAGCTGGTTTTGGAACTGTATTTACCCCTTTTGCTTCTAGGTGACTCCTTCCCAACAAACACACACACAAACAAACCTTAAACTGGCTTAGAAAGGAGAGGGGAGATTTATTAGCACACCTACTTGGAAAGGTGAGGTAGGGAGGCTTCAGGCACAGTGAAACAAGGAGCTCGAACAACATGAGTCCAAATTCAGTTTCTTTGTCTCCCGGCTCTGCTCTGGTTTGTCTTTGTACGCAGGCATGCTCTCTCCTCTCGGTAGCCGTCAGCAGTTTGAGGTTAAATCCTAGTCTTTTGGACACCCTAGTGGGGGAATACAGAATATTGCTTCCCTGATGGCTTTTGGAGCTGCCTCAGGAAGCATGTGCATCTCTGCACTAGTCACAGTGTCCAGAGGGTAGAATTCGTGGGTGTGCCCACCCCTGACCTCCCAGACCACGCGGTGAACCAAGGAGAGTCAGGGCACACAGAGGGGGGCCCCAGCGCCCCGCTCAGCTTCCATGTCCAGCCACGGGGGAGCAGGGGAGAGGCCTGTGCAAGGAGGAGCCAGGGAGTCAGTGCCAGTGCACAGAGGTGGACGTGAGGGATGGGAGCTTGGGGGGGCTCGAGGGGCCCACGGCCAAGAGCCGGGAAGCTGCGGGAAGGCTGAGCCCGCAGGAGGGCAGGGGCGGGCATCAGCAGGGCTCAGCCTCCGATGGTGGCCGCCGCGATGGCCGGCACAGAAGTCCCCGTGTGCGGTGCATCCGCCGGGTGCCACCCCCCTTCCCCACCCCCCCACCCCCGTGCTTCCCGTGGGCCAGGCTCACGTGATCCTGGCCACCTGCGTCGGGACAGGCCCTAGTGTGGTCACCACTTGACGGACGGGCCTGGGAAGCCTGCCTGAGGACGCTCGGGGGCCTCCGGGGACTGAGGCGCTGCTTTCCCGCCCACAGGGGCCGAGCCAAACCCCAGCTGGGAGCACATCCTCTTCACGGCCTGTCACAATCGGCACGTGCAGCTGCAGCCCCCCGGCCGCAGGCTGCACTCGTGGGCGGACGACTGGAAGGCCATCCTGGACAGCAAGCGGCCCCGCTGAGCTGGACTGTGCTCTGGGCTCCGCCGCGGGGCCCCTGACCTCAGGGCTCCCAGCTCAGCGCCCCCCCAGGGCGGGGTGGGGGTCCCTCTCACATGGCCCGGGCCCACTGCATGTCTCCCCGCTCTCCCCAGCCCTGCCAGGCCTTAAACTGATCTCGGGGCAGGGCTGGCCCAAGGGCCCTGGACAAGACCCGTCCGGCCAGGCGGTGCAGGCTGACCTCGGGCCAGGGCCAGGCTGCACGGGGCTAAAGGGGCTCCAGACCAGAAGGAGCCGAGGGCCAGCAGTCCTGCCCCCATCCCTCAGGGAAGTCCCCCCCGCGCATCGTGTCCAAGGCCCCTCGGCCATGGTGCTGGCAGTGAGGTGTTGGCGGGGTGAGAGGGCTACGAGCAGGAGCAGGTGGGACGAGCCCTCACAGTCTGGGCCGCAGCCCCTCCCTCCCCTCCCCTTCCGCCGGGCCCCGCTCCCCCCACCCCCGCCCGGGGGCCCACCGTGGATTCAGCAAACACTCCCTGAGTGCCAGGGCACGCCAGGCTCTGTGCTGGGGCCTCCGCACGCCGCCCTGCCTTGGACCGGCCGAGAGGTTTCACGCACTCCTGTCCCTGGGGCCCCGCTCAGGGCCCAGCAGTCAGCAGCCTTGAGCATTTGTTGAAGGCCGGCCAAATAAATGCGGTTCACGTGTCGCCCGAGGATGTGGCCCCCCTCTAGCCCCTGCCCCGAGATCGTCCGGCGTCTGGCCCCTGGGCACCCAGCTGCACACCTTGTAAGTACCTGGGGGGCCGCCTGCACTGCTGAGGGCGCTGAGGAGGGCGCGGCCTCACCGCCCACTTCACCACGGATGCTGCGTGGGACCAAGGAGGAATGGGCTGAGGGAGGAGCCATGGTGGTCCCCTGGGTAGGCCGCCCACCACGCTGACTGGTCCCCCTCTCACGTGCCTCCTTGCCATGCGTGCCCCCCGGGCCCCGGCCTCCAGCCCCTCCTGCCCTGCCCAGTTCAGAGCACCCCACTCTCTGCTCCTCTCCCATACAATGTTCCTAATGAGAGCCCAGGAGCCATGTGGGGAAGGGGCCGGGGGAGGTCACCCTCTTCCTTTTGTGCTTTTCGGCTTCTGTGCTCTTCCGCCCACCGGGAAGTGGCAACTTGAACCTACCATCACCTCCCCAGGCTTTCTTGAAGACCTTCGCCCCTCCACTTGCTGTCCTCCCCATCGCCGCCCTGCAGAGAACCCCTAGTTGTTCCATCTCTGGGGGCCTCCTGGGAGGCCCCTGGGACAGGCACACTCGGGCTGCCCCACGGGGTGGCGTCAAGTGGGAGAAAAGGTGAGGGAAAAGTGTCTGAAGCTCGGGCTGGCTGAGCTTCGGGGCTTTGTGGCTCTCAGGCCAGCTTGGTCATCCAGATGAGGAAGGAAGGACTGTCGGCTTGATCAAAGGTGGTCTTCCACGGCGCTGTCCCACCTCGGTGGCTGTAGCCCTCGGGGGGTGGGGTGGGGGCTCTGCGGGTCCCGTCCTACGAGGAGTGTATTTGGGGTTGCATCACCTGACCAAGCAGGGCAGCGTCCTGGGGAGTCTTGGCCACCCCAGCCTGTAGCTCTGGGAGGAGTTAGACCCTGGAGGGCTGGCTCCCCAGCTGCTCCCCGGAGACCCTCTGTTGCTACCCACTTGAGGACAAGGCCACTGTCTAAGGGCCAGGAGACCGTGCCACCTGCATGACGTACTTTCTTCCTGGGCCTGTGTCTTGTGGCCTCCACGCCCCAGTCGCCAGCAGAGGCCTGCCCACCGAGCCTTCACAACCTCTCCTAAGAGCCTCCCCTGCTTGGTGGTCATGCGGAGACCCCCTGGGATCCCATCGCCCGGGACCGGCAGGGCATCGCAGCCTCTGGCTTGGTGAGAACCACGCTCTGCCCGGACTTGACCTTCTGGCTGGGAGGAGGACCCACAGAGCACCTGCTGCTCGTGGGACTGGTGCTAGCTCAAGGCCGCAGCAGTGAACCAGACCCAGCCAGCCTGGTGCCCTCAAAACAAAAAAGCCACTTAGTTCATTTTTGTCTTGGGGCCTCATTGTGCTGAGGACAGAAACTTAATCTCATCAGGCTTTTCTCGGCCACATCTGGTTCCTCCCCAGGGAGTGTCCCAAGCATAGGGTGGGAGGCGTGCTGGGATGTGTGGTGGGGATGCGGGGTGTGTGGATGTGGGGGCACTTTATTTCGTGTAGTGATTGCAGCGGTGAAGGGAATCCCCTCCTCATCCTCGTGCTGGGGTCACTGGACCCGTGGGTGCTGGCGCTGCTGACCTAGCCTGTCCCCCCGAGGTCAGCCTTAGGGCCCCCCGTCTGGGGGACAGGCCACCTCCGTCAGAGGGAGACAGTTGCTCCCGCCTGTGCCCTGCTGGGGGCAGTGAGACCCCTTTGCCTGCTCACCGCCTGCAGCCTTTTCTTCCCCTGCTCCTGGCCCCTGGTGAACTGCAGGGCGCTCTAGGGCCCCAGGCATGAGGAGGGGTGGGGCGGGAGGCCAGGGCACAGAGCCCCTTCTTGGGGACTCCCTCCCTCGCATCTGCCAGCTGTCTACTCCCAGCCCGTGGCAGGGCCTGATTCTAGATCTGCTCCTCTCGGAGCTCAAGCTGTGCTCTTAGTCTCCCCAAACCTTTCCTTTTCAACTGATGGCCACCAGGACTTTTAAAGGCCAGTTTAAAAACTCCAAAGCTACAAATCGCTGAATTCATTCTTTGCTCATCGAAGCTCACTCACCCTGAGGTAGCACTCACCTCTTCAGCTGCCTGATTCGTTTAAAGGAGAAAAAATAATTGCAGGGCAAGGATGCTTTAGTCAGTGCTTGGGAATGTGGCCCCGCCGGACAGGCCATCCAGAACTCACTGTAATTATACCCAGCGCTCCAGGAGAAGTCTGGGGGCTGCGGGGGGTGGGGGCGGGGGGAGGCAAGTGGAGTGGGGCCCTGGGCTGCCTGAGGTCCCGGAGAGGCCTCTTCCAGCAGGGGGCATCACCTAAGGGCTGGGTAGAAGAGGGTAGAGCCCTCTTCGCTGAGGGAAGGCGGTGCAGAGGCCCTGGGGCTGGAGGGTGTTGCCGAGGAGCAGAAGGGAGTGTAGGAGGGAGGACTGGAAGCCAGAGAAGAGAAAGGGAAGGTAGGAGATAGAACCTGGGCAGGTAACCAGCATGGACGGCTGCCCACCCCATGGCACTCACTCTGCCATGGGGCCCGTCACGACCCTCTTTGTGCCGGTGAGGGGGGGCACCCGCAACAGCCGATGACAGAGGCCAGGACTGCGAGGCTTTATGATTTTGTTCTTGTCAAATGGGATACACACAATTGGAATGAAGGTGACTTTCTTCAAAGCCTGAGAGGCATATGTTTTGCTTTAGAACCGTTGAATGGACTGCAGCGAAGGAAGTCCGCCCTCCCGGTAGGAAAGCCAGCTAGTCCTGCCCTGAGATGAGGTGGCCCTGGTCAGAAGTGGAGAGTTGCCCCTTTGAAAACATTGGAAATGTTCTGGGTCCTAGGGCCAGGGCTCCTGGAAGGAGCGACGGCCTCCAGGTCAGCTAGGGGTTTTAGGCAGAAAGACTCGGTGTAGTTTCTTCAGTCTTCTGGGTCACGGTGTCCCCACTGGGACCCATTCCAAAATCATAACCTTAGCAATGATCATTTCCTTAGCACTTACGGTGTTCCAGAGCCTGACGAGCATGTTCTATGGCCTCATAACCACCCTCTTGCGGTCACTCCCACTTAACTGACGGGGCTGTGGTCTCAGCAGAGTCAAGGGTCCCCACCGAGGCCGTCCCGGGTCAGTGGTGCCAGCAGGATTGTAGCCCAGGCGACTGTGCTCTGGGGCTTGTGACCTCTACATGACACTGTCCTCCAATCTGGAATGCCCTAAGTGCTCAGGTGTTCGTGGTGAAAGCTGAGTCAGTGCTCAAGGGATGGGCCTCCATCTGAAGGTGAGTATTCAGGCACTCAGCCTGCAGCAGACCCGAGGGCAGGTGGGAAAGGTTCAGGCCAGACCTGTGCATTGCCTAGAAGTCAGGAGAGTTGGCTGAGTTGGCCCTCAGTCACAAGCCTGAGGAAGGGGTATGGGGAGGGGGAGAGAAAGAGGTGGAAGAGAAGGGGGGGCAGGGTTGGGGGGGAAGCTCACTGATTCCTCTGCAGGCCAGGCAGAAGGACGAATATAACAGAGCATGCATGACACTTGGTACATGACCTGTGGCCCCTGATTTGCCAGTGGTCCTCCCCTGCACTCCTGCCATTCAGGCAAAGCCAGGAGTTCCACTGCCCCACAGAACGGCAGGCACGTGTTGTCTAGAACAGGAAGTCCATGGGGTGAGCAAGAAGGAGGAGATGGCCTGGGTCAGTCCTCACTAGAGAGAACGTGGCCTGCTGGTACTGGGATGAGTGACCACAGCTAGAGCAAGGATGAGCAGGAAGGGTCCTGGGAAGGGACCCCCCACCCTCTCGCAAGTGTGTGCATCAGGGGTGTGAGAGGGATGTTAGAAATTCCAGCAGCCAACCCAGCTGCTTGAGGAGGCCAGTTTCACAGGCAGGGGAGCCACTGAGCAGGTGAGGCCGAGGTGGCCCCCAAGATCCCGGCTCTCCCTCTGGTCCAGAAGGGAATGAATTCAGGGTCCCTGCATGCCTGTGTGGGGGATGCAGATGGAAGGAGGACCCTGGCTGGGAGCTCATTAGGTGGCTGCCGAGGAGGGCCCAAGTGGCCCTGTGGCTGAGGGCTGTCGGGGGACCACCCAATCTGGCTGGGCCAAGAGCAGACCCTCATTAGCCCTGAAGCAGGGACTCGGTAGTGCAAGCACGTAGGGTGAGGCTCACAGCCTAAAGCCAGGAGGCATGAGCCCTGACCTGAGCTCCAAGCGGAAGCCAGCTCCTGGATCCAGATGTCCTCTTGGCTGGGACAGAAACAGCCCCTCTAGGAGTGAGGATTTAGAGTTGAACGCCTCTGGAAAGAGCCTGAGTTAGAGATCAAAGAAGACCATTTTAGGTGGAAAGAGGCTGAGTTAGTTTTAGTTGGCAATTAAAAAAACAGTTATCAGTCATAGTTAATATCAAGCATGTATCTGCTTGATATTATCCATAGAGTTTTAGCTTATGTATATTTGGTTTCTCCCACAACCTGCCCAGGAAGCAGGGCTCAGAGAGGTTAATTGACAAGCCCTGGGCCACCCAGTGGGCAGAGATGGGCTCTGAAGTCAGCTCCCAGAGCCTGCAGGGGAGAGCCAGAGGGCAGCCTGACAGTGGGAGGGTCTGGGAACAGGGAGTCTGGAGACTGGGTTTGCCACCAGCTTGCTGGGAACTCTCTGCAAAGCCACTTCTCTCTCAGCCTGTTCCAGAGCTGGTCAGCTTCCATGGTGGCATGAGAAGGGGTTGCAGGCAATAAGGACGTTTATTCCTCCCTGGAGAAAACAGACTTGCTCTATGAAACAAGGTGGTGAAATCGGTGGTGG